AAGCCCTGTCCTCTCCTCTGCTGGAAGGAAGCCTTCAATGCCTACCTGTTGGCCTCAGGAGATGTTCAAACAGAGCTTGCGAAGCCTTTCATGATCTGCCACCTACCAACTTCTGCAATATGGTCCCTCTCTCTCTCTCAACATTTCCCCCTCAAGCCCTGCATCCTGAGCTCTTTGTGGCTTCCCATTCTGGCCTTGAATCTTTGTGCAAGTTCCTTCTGCCTTGAACTCTCATTTCCCACCCCTGTTCTCCAAACTGGCTAACTCCTCCTTCCTCCTGGAATCTTTCTCTGCCACTCTCTTCACCTCTTCCCTCAGATTGGTTCAGCACCCTTCTAGGTTCTCATTGTCCAGAAAACTTGATCATATTGTCTCAGCAGGAACTGATAGCACCACCTCAAGTTCTACTGCCCACTCCCTTGTTAGACACACAGTAACAGGAAGTTGCTGTTGCTGTTCTTGGGCAACCAAGGAGGAACCATTTAAAAATAGTAAAGGTCATGGAGGGCTGCCTGGACAGGGAGGACTTTGATCCTGCCCCTCCCTCTGTTCAAGCTGGAGCGAGGTGTCAATTCTCCCATCACTCTGTATCATACTTGTGCTTAGTCACTCGGTCGTGTCCGACTCTGTGACCTCATGGACTGCAGCCCGCCGGGCTCCTCTATCATGGGATTTTCCAGGCGAGAATACTGCCATTTCCTCCTCCAGGGGATCTTCCTGACCCAGGGATCAAACCCACGTCTCTTGTGTCTTCATTTGCAGGCAGATTCTTTATCACTGCACCCCCTGGGAAGCCCCTGGATCAAATTGAGAAAGCCTCAATTTCTCTGTCTCTCCAATACCCATTGTGGCTCTGTGGTTCTTAATTAAATGTCTTTTTTAAAGTATTAGACCAAGTCCTTAGTATCTTCTTGCCTGGTTCCCTGACAATGTGTTTCACTTCACACATTCACCCCTTCCACTCCCCCAGTCCCAGTTTCAAGCTTGGTCGTGTCTATTGCTTATTTGATACCCTGGGACACAGTACCGTCTTTGGCTGAATTCATGTCAGTGAACTGCAGCACTCCCATGTGATTATTTATTCACTATTGCATCCCCAGTGGGTGAGTCAGGGAGGGCTTCCCAGTGGAGTGACTTTGAAAACTGGATGGGGGTCTATCAGGTGAAAAGGAAAGCAAAAGCAGAGGCATGTGTCAAGGCAGGGAAGTATGGTAGAGCTTATGACTAAGGAACAGTGAAAAATTCAGTGTGGTTAGAGAGGCACGCGCCAAGGCGGGGAGGTATGACAGAGCTTCTGACTGAGGAACAGTGAACATTTCAATGTGGTTCGAGTGTATGCTGTAGAATAGGTGGTGCTAGTGGTAAAGAACCTGCCTGCCATTACAGGAGGTGTAAGAGACTATAGGTCGGATCCCTGGGTTGGGAAGATCCCCTGGAGGAGGGCATGGCAACCCACTCCAATATTCTTGCCTGGAGAATCCCATGGACAGAGGAGCCTGGCAGGCCATAGTCCATAGGGTCATAAAGAGTCAGACACGACTGAAGGGCCTTAGCACAGCACACACATCGGATAGTGTGTGCAGTTAGGGACCATGTATACCATACTGGTAAATCTGTTCCTCACCTGTTATAGTGGGGCTAATACCTGCCTCTAGGCCTGTTCTGAGAACCAGGTGGGCAATGTTATGAAAGAACTTAGTTCAGGCTTGATACATAGAGATGCCTAATTAATGCGAGTTTCCTTTCCTACTTTCCTTCTTAGTTTAGATTTTGGACTTCCCCGGTGATTCAGTGGTTAAGAATTTCCCTGCCAACGCAGGGGACATGGGTTAATCCCTAGTCCAGGAAGAGTCCACATGCCACAGAGAAACTAAAGTTGTGAGTCACAGCGACTGAGCCCAGGCGCCCTAGAGTCCGTCCTCTGCAATGAGAGAAGCCACTGCAATAAGAAGCCTGAGTATGCCAACTGGAGCGTAGTCCCTGCTCCCTGCAACTAGAGAAGGCCTGCATGCATCAGTGAAGACCCAGTGCAGCCAAAAGTAAATACAATTTAAGAGTTTAGATATTATCCTATAAGCAGGGGTAATATTTAAAATATTTAAATATTTAGGGAATTCCCTGGCAGTCCAGCGGTTAAGACTTCCTTACCCTCACTGCTAAGGGCCTGGGTCTGATCCCTGATTGGGGAACTAAGATCCCACATGCTGCATGGTATAGCAAAATTTAATTAACTAGTTAGCCACCTGTATAACCCAGGTTTCCCTAGTAGCTCAGTGGTAAAGAATCCGCCTGCAACACCAGACACCAGGGTTTGATCCCTGGGTCAGGAAGATCCCCTGCAGTAGGAAATGGCAGCCCACTCCAGTATTCTCGCCTGGAAAATCCCATGGACAGAGGAGCCTGTAGGGCTATACAGTCCATGGGGTCACAAAGAGTCAGGCACGACTTAGTGACTAAACAATACCACCACCACCCAGGTACCACCCAGTCAAAACAAATGTGGGTCACAACCAACCAGCTGAGGGAGTTCTTTCTAGGACTAAGTGCCCTCGACTGGAGTAAAGCAAAGCACAGAAGCAGGAAAGTCCAGCTGCACTGGGAAATGGTGGGTCCTTGGTGTCCTCGAGGACTTTATCCACATCTAGTCCATGATAATCAATATCATACCCAAATAAGCTAGTTTCACCTGTCTTTGTAGGCACACTGTTATGTGGCTGGCCTTGGTGCCACCCAAGAGAAAACTGAACTGGAGGGGAATGGAACTGGGTTTTATGTGTTCTCTTTTCTGATCCTCACCCAGTCTTGGGCGGTAAGGCATCATCAGGTGTGTTTTACTATTGTGGAAACTGAGGCTTTGATGGCTGGCTGATTTCTCGGCAGGTGGTGAGATGCTTGTAGCAGAGGTCCCTCTTGCTCCCAGGTGTGCTTTCTTCTCTGTCACTCTGGGGTTCCAGAGTCCTCCTCTTCAGCTTAAGTTTTAAGGGCATTTACCATTTCTCACTCACTCATCCAGCCATCAAACCTGTTTAAGAAAAACAACTGAAAGGTATATTTTTATTTCACAAAAAAAGTGTGACACGCAATACCCATCCCCTAACAAACTACAAACTCTTGGAATACAGAGTAAAAAGGAGATCCAATCAGTCTTGATGAGATAAAAATTTGGTTTCACAAAGTTGAAAAATCCATTACAAAGTCTCTGTTGTATAAATATAGTCAGTCTTATCTTCAACGTAGAGTGAGACCAAAAAAAAAAAAGTTTTGTTGGCATAAGAAATCCCCTGGTCCTTGAATACACCAGTCTTCATTTGTACTGTCAGCCAAATACAGGTGACACCTACATGATGAGAGTTACATGTGTATTCTTGGACTCTAGGTAACTATATGGGATTTATTTTTATTATTATTATTTTTTCATTTATTTTTGCTAGTTGGAGGCTAATTACTTTACAGTAGCGTAGTGGTTTTTGTCATACATTGACATGAATCAACCATGGATTTACATGTGTTCCCCATCCCGAGCCCCCCTCCTCTAAATGGGATTTAATATTTTATCTCCTGAGCCCACTCTCCCTCCCCTGAAAGCTTGTGCAAAACACTATAGTCTTAGTTTACTAAAGGTGTTTCCCATGTAAAATAACACGTGTGTGTTCTAAATTTGACTATGGTAATAGGTGTACAATTCTGTGAATATACTAAAATCTGTTGAATTGTGTGTTTTAAATGAGTGAATTGCATGGAATTTGAATTATACCTCAATAGAGCTATTAAAAAATATCTATCATGTCTAAGTTGCTAGGGGAGCAACAGATGATCCTTATGGCATATCTCAGGAGTTCCTTGCAGGATGCAGGGAATATTTGCAGAAATCAGTACACTAAGGGATATAGAAAGGAGATCTTTGAAGTATTATGATTAAGTCAGTGGAGTTTGAGGTTGCTCTAGGATCACTCAGTTTCAAGATGTCAGAATAAAGAAATCAACGGGGTAGATATTTTTTTCTGATTGATTCTAGCATAGTCTGTGTACCTTCTGTGGCCTTTGTCACAAAATAAAGTTATTTGGTGGAAAAGCAGATGCCCGGGGCATTGTTGAGACTACGGAAAACTTCAGGCTGGCACTGAGAAGCTGACTATCTGCCTCCATTGGGAGAAATTCCACCATGGCCACAGGTTCTGAGAGCCTGAGTCCCACAAGAGGAGGAAGAAATTAGATACCAAAGAAAAGCTTCTAGATTTATTGAATCAAGGGGACTGCCTGCCTTCAGTGATGCTGTTTCTGGCCAGAAGTCACAGCAGGGTTCCAGTTCTCACAGACCCTTCTATAAGACCATTGCCAGGGCAGCAGGGGCAGATCATTATGCAGCAGACAAACCATTTACAAGTGTCATCTCCAAGCTTGACCTACCAACTGGTCGCCAAATGGTCATTTGAGAAAGGAGACAGGCACAAACCATGGGCAACTGGGCCCTTGAACCAGGACGTCATTCTAGCCAAATAGTGAGGGGAAGAGAATTGCCATTAGTCAAAAGAAAAAGAGAACTTAAAACTCTTGCTCTGGTTTTACCATTCTAGTTAAAGCTCATCACTTACACTTGTTGTGAAAGTCAATCGAGAACAGTTATAGCTTACTCAAGAAAAGGGAATGAAGTACCCAGTTTAAAAAACAAAATAAAACCTTCCTTTATTGCCTCTTTGTGCTTATCAAGCCTTTTCTTACCCAAGGTTTACTCATCTGGCCCCCAGCCTGTCCATTATACCAGTTGGAGCCAGTTATCCAGGAGAGATGAATCCAGGCAACCAGGAGGATGGTTCATCAGGGGATGCCAATACCCTCCTCACCCAGCCTCTCTCCCAAAAAGATCATGAGCTGAGGGCAAGGATCAGGGGAAACTCCTGGCTGCTTCTGCCCTGAAATAAGAGGACAGGGGGAGTTGTTTCTGTACTTAAAAAGGGACGTACTTTTGTTCCAGAGCAATAAGAAATACGAGCAGATGAAGCTATGGCTCTGACGGCTGGTCCATTTTGGGAAACAAGATGCAAGCGAGGGAGTGATATATAAACAAAGTGTGGGTATATTTGGCAGGTTTGAGGCAAGCAGAAAGGAAGGTTTGGGTACTCTATAAAAAGAAAACAAAGATCTGGAATTCAAACTTCTTCTGATAAGGCCACAACGAAGAGATTTCCAGCAGTGGGTGTTGCAGGAAGGTGGCACCCACATTGCCACAGGCTTGCAAGGTGATGTGCCCAGGTGAGGAGGCAGGTGAGGCAGGGCAGTGTCCCTCACAGGTCCATGTCTGGGCCTCCTGAGGATGTCTTCAGTGGCACCGAGTCAAACCCATCAGGAGTCCTCTGAAAGAGAGATGGTGACAGGAGCTGGCTGCTGCACATGGGCAAGTTTGGGGAACAAAGGAGAGAAATGGAAAAGAGGTGACAGAAAGAACCCTCCTGAAATTCCTGCTTTCTTCAGTGGCTTTGTGGAAACATGGACATAAGATAGTCTCTATTCTTCTTGCTCCCTTCAGTCAGTCAGAGGATGAGAAATATCTTTAAACCCCTTGCTTTACATCTTTGTTGAATTCTAGAAGTTCCAGAATGACCCAAGCGTCCCAGGGTAAACTGTTCTCCCATTGGTTAAACAAAAAGCATTCAAGGTCTAAGGAGGCCAAGAGAGTACCCTGGAAGGTAATTCCAGGGAGGGAATGAGATTCGGCCAAGGAAACACCTACCCACCTTCCTTTCCTTTTCTGTTGCCCCCTTCCCCACCTGGGTTGGATAAATTGGTCAGGGCAGCAGTGAACTGTGGGTGCTGGCAGAGTGGGGCTGCTGCAGAGGGCGATGGCCCTGGAGGAATCACTCGAATGCTCTCTGCTTGCCCCAGGCCCAGTGACAGTGTGGTCTATCTTAACGTTTATGAGCTTCAGACTCATTCACCCACCCATACAGAGTCAGCTCTCCCAGTTCAGAACTCTTCAAGGGTGAACAACTTAGATGAAGCTGTGACTCAGCCCCCAAAGGACAGGGGCCTGACATCCAGAGGACAGCAGCCTCCACTGGCCAAAGGAGAGCCTCACTTCTACCAGAAGTTGATCCTAGAGGTCATCCCTTCCCCTCCCTCCAAAATACAAAAAGGTTTTTGGTTTATTGTTTTGTTTTTTGGGGATGGGGGCTGATTCTTAACCTCAACATGGGTGGTTCAGTACTCCTTCTCGAAGTTAAAAGGCCCAAACAGCCCATCCACTGGAGTGCATGATGGCAGAGAAGGAGCCTTGTGCAGAGCAGTCTTGGGCCTCAGGGGGAAAGTATTTGTGTGAAAATACAGAAGACAGAAGCCAGGATTCTCAAGGTGGGAGGATAGAAGAGCATAGCGGATAGGGAGCAGAACAGTGGTCCCTAAACAGTGGGGGGTCTCGGTGTCCTAGGACTGATGTCTTCTCCTGGCCTCCAGGGTGACCGCAGTGCACTGGCCATCCTCCCTACCTTGGAGGTAAGTGATCTGATTTTCCCAAAGAGTGACTTTTTGCTGGTAAAGATGAGGTCATCCTCCACATCCTCGCCTTCCATGATGGCACAGCTGTCAGCAGCTGGCAGGTCACAGTCCTTGAGGGTAGCATTCATCACAAGCTTGGAGTACTTGTACTCTAGCCTATGAAACAAGGGAATGGGGAAGATAAGACACCAAACTGTAATAAAAGGAAAAGGAGAAAGGTTGGGCTAAAAGGAGATATTCCCTTACCATGGGTGATGGAACTGAAACATAGCAAAATGGTATTAGGCTGGGGATTTGGCTAGGGAATCTGATCCCCAAATCAGGGATCTTTCCCCTTAAATCTAGGTGTTTCTGTGATCTCAAAGCTGAATAGAAATCATGAAACTGTAAAATCATTTTTATCATTAATAATAGCAAATTAAGAATTCTCTTTGCATTTCTTTTGAGATCTAACAGCTTTTCGTAGACTGCCATGTGGCACCATCCCTGTTTAGGAGTTAAGATGTGTATGTGTGTGCTGAGTCACTTCAGTCGTGTCTGACTCTTTGTGACCGCATGGACTGTAGCCCGCCAGGCTCCCTTGTCCATGGGATTCTCCAGGCAAGAATACTGGAGTGGGTTGCCATGTCCTCCTCCAGGGGATCTTCCTGGAGGAACTGAACCCATGTCTCCTGCATGGCAGGCAGATTCTTTACTGCTGAGCCAGCAGGGAAGCCCCTAGGAGTCAGGATAACCAAGGCATATACTGGATGAGTGGCTCAACAAGCCTCTGGCCAGAGTCACAGGGACTGTGGCCAACACTAAAGAGCAGCACTGTGAATTTATACTCTCAGATACTCTCCTCCCAGCTCAATGATCCAGCCCTGGCCATCCCAAACCCATCACGTACTTTTGATTCTTTTTCCAAAAGTAACAGGTCAAGACGGTGAGCAGGATGGCAGTGCAGGTGCCTGCAGAGATGCCCACTTTCAGCCAGAAGTCTATCGTTTTGCAGATGGTGACTCTCTGCTCAGGCAGGGAGATGCCACCGGAGCACAGCTTTGGTTCTCGCCACACGTAAGTAGTCTTCTGTTGGGGAGAAAAACAAGGAACTCAGATATCACACTCGCCTGTCTCCTGGGAAGTTCCCAAGCAGAGACGCCTACCTGGATGCCGGCCACGCAGCTGCTGACGATAGCATGGTAGTCGGCAGTTGAGCAGAGGGGGCAAGCGGCCACGCTCTCCCACAGGAAGTGGAAGTTACAGCCATCACAGGTCCCATCGGAGCACGTACTAACAAAGCAGAAAGGAGACGTGAGCGCACGCTCGCTGGACTGTTGGGAAGATCTGGCTGGAGTCCTATCATTTCATAAATTGCCTGATCCGTCTTCTCCTTGTTAAACTGTCAGTTCCATCATGACCCTTCCAACTAGTTCTTAGCCTTAGTTTTGCTCTCTGATTTCCCTGATGATAAGAGGCCTTTCCAGCCTTCATCAGGGCCCCCACCCTCTGCCCGTTATGTTTCTGCCAACATCAGATGAGAACTCATGTAAGCTGTCTGAGCTCTAGCACAGTTACCCAGCTAAGCCCTCAGAAGCTCCTGTTCTCCCCATGGACATGGGATGTTTTGCAAAAGTCACTTTTTCTTTCTTTCATTTCACTCTTTCTTTCATTTTAAAGTTTTTATTTTCTATTGGGGTATAGCCAATTAACAAACAATGTTGTAAGAGTTTCAGGTGAACAGTGAAGGGACTCAGCCATACGTGTACATGTATCCATTCTTCCCAAACTCCATCCAGCCTGCCACAGAACACTGAGCAGAGTTCCCTGGGCTGTGCAGTAGGACCTTGTTGGTTATCCATTTTAAATACAGCAGTGTGCAGAGCTGCCTGTGGAGGGCTGGGTGTGAGGGCCAGTGTTCGGGAATGAACTTGAGGTCCCTGCTGTCTGCAATGTACTTTCCTGTAACGTTTGCAACGAGAATAGTGACCACACATTTTGATACCACTGCTGGGCCACAGTGTGCCTCTTGGCTTCCCATATCCCTGCCCAGTCATTGCCTAGCAGCAGCATTTTCCAAACCGTCTTCCTCAAGACATGGGTACCCTCAAGATGTTAGTGTTAAGTGAAAAGAGGAAGGTAGGGGGAAACGTTGTTATTGCTGTTTAGTTGATAAGTCATGTCTGATTCTGTCGCAGCCCCATGGACTGTGGCCCACTAGTCTCCTCTGTCCATGGGGTATCCCAGGCAGGAGTACTGGAGTATGTTGTCATTTCCTTCTCCAGGGGATCTTCCTGGAGAATTGAACCCTCATCTCCTTCATTGGCAGGCAGATTCTTTACCGCTGACCCACCAGGGAAGCCTGGGGGAAACGGTACTGTAATCAAATTAAATCAAGAGTCCTTGATTTAGTGCCCTTGGCTCTTACATTCAGAATTGGGTCTTTGGCTGTAGAGAGATTCTTAGGATTCCCTAACATTTACTAACTTGATAGTAGGAAGGATCTATTATCTCAATGAGTTTCCCTGGTGGCTCAGATAGTAAAGCACCCACCTGTAGTGTGGGAGACCCTGCAGGGGTACATCCCTGGGTTGGGAAGATCCTTTGGAGGAAGTTATGTCAACCCACTCAAGTATTCTTGCCTGAAGAATCCCCATGGACAGAAGAGCCCGGTGGGCTACAGTCCTTGGGGTCACAAAGAGTGACTGAGCGACTAAGCACATTATCTCATTATCTTATTTCATTATCTCATTTAATCCTCATAACAACCCCCTGAGGGAATTTATTATTATCCCCATTTTTCAAATAAAGAAGAAGAGGCCTAGATAAGATAAGAACTATATCCATACAGAGCTGGCAAGTATAGGAGGGGAATTGAATCTGGCCCTCAGCTCTAGCCATTAGTCACTCTGCTACACAGCTGCCCGCCCGCTCTAGAGAGTGAGGGTAGCTTCTACTCTTCTGCTCCATCCTTGACATCTAAAGTTCGAGGGTTTGGAGCCATGACTGTGTCCCCAAGGGCCCATTAATGGAGCTCAGACAATTTCTCTTTTGCTCTTCTTCAGTAATCTCTGTTTGGTTCTTGGGATGGAGTGATGTCAAGGAAGGGAGACTGTGTCACATCCCTTTACCTTGGCAGTGACAGACTCCCAGGAACAGGCTTGAATGGACTGCATCTGACTCGGATGGTGGTGGATCTCCCAGAGCTGCACGACTGGGTCACATCATTGGACCTGCAGAGCAAACAGCCCCCAAGGGGGAAGGAGTCACTCACTGGTGCCATTGGAGAGCTGCTAAGTGAAGTCAGCATGGAACAGACACCTGGCTGGGGAAGTCTGGTGTGACACATAGGAGAGAGTGGGGGGTCAGGGAGATCTGGTCAAAGGGAAATGCACTGGTCTAGGAAAGGCTGTGCCGTGCTCAGTTGCTCAGGCATGTCTGACTCTTCAGCGACCTCATGGACTGTTGCCCACCAGGCTCCTCTGTCCATGGGATTTCCCAGGTAAGAATACTGGAGTGGGTTGCCATGCCCTCCTCCAGGGCATCTTCCCAACCCGGGTATCAAACCTATTGTCTTCTGTGTCTGCTGCATTGCAGGTGGACTGTTTACCACTGAACCACTGGGGAAGTGCTAGGAAAGGCTAGCAGATGCATTAACACTGGAATCTCCCTAGGCTGGATGGGTTGTCCACCCGAGGTCATCCAATATTTCTCGGTGCCACCAGGGGCACAGCTGCCCCAGTAATAACCAAGTAGCTGGGCTGGGGAACTCTCAACCTTTAGAGCTCTCTGCTGGGCAGGTTTGCTAGACCTTGTTCTGGCTTGATAAGCAGCAGGTGGCTAAAGAGGGAGGGATGCCACAGAGACTGCAGAGAAGCCCTGAGTTTCACTTGCATTAGCCTGGCCTCTCATTTTCACCTATAAAAGAAGATCACGTCCGGTATTCCCAGGGACTCCGGGTGGAAAAGTTCAGCTGGGGAGGTGATGCCATCCAGAGTCATATCTGTTGTCACCCCTGCCAAATTAGAGCTCCTAATTAGTTCTCACTAGTAGCATTTAGCTGGCAACCACTTCAGTTCTTCCAATACCTGTTCACATCCCACCTTCCTTCCTCTCATCACATCCTTGAGTGGCTCAGGAGAGGGCAAATCAAAGGTTTATCAGTGGCCCCAGGGGCCCTTGGTACCCCAGGATGGAGTGGGAAACAGAGGTCGGGAGGTTGGGCCCCTCACCTGGGGCCTTTTAGCTCAGAGTCTGGGAGCCTCATTCACTCTCTCTGCACACACACATATTCAAACAGGTGAGAAAGACTGAGTTACTCACCGATAAGCCGGTCTGCGAGGCTGACAGGCTGCGAGGACACCCCGGCCTTGTAGCCTGTCACCTCTGGGGGAATGATGACTGCCTGGCACACGTAGGCTGTGATGGGTTTGGAGAAACCTGACTCACCCTCGGGGATCCGGAGGTCGGTGACATTGTCAGTGCACACGGACATTTTCTTACCCTGGGCAGGGGGGTGCAGGAGGAAGTGGGAGAGAATGAGTGATCACAGAAGAACTCCCGAAAGGGAACAGGAAACAGTTTTTCTACATTTAAAGCTTTAGCCTTCTAAGAGCATGCTGCAGTGGAATGATTCATCCCCGTTCTAATTACAAGACAGATTTTAAAAGATAAAAAAAGCTAAGAATAAGGCCTAGGTGTCCTAGTTCCTGGAACTCTGGCCCAGAGATCCCCAGTCTTTTATTTCCTTGGAATCATCCTGGAGCCCCTTATGAGCAGGGTTGTGATGGTGGCAAACTGATTGGCAGATCTAATCTACCAGCCTACCAGTTAAGGGCCTTCCTTATCCTAGCCAGATTTCTAGGCAGATCCTGAAATGTGTAACTGATCTCATGAAATTGATTTGGGCATCTGGCCTGCTTCCCATTCACCCTCTGTGTCTTCCTTGAAGCTGTGATTCTACCATACTTATCTTGGGAGAGGAAATGGCAACCCACTCCAGCATCGTTGCCCGGAAAATTCCATGGACAGAGGAGCCTGGTGGGCTATAGTCCATGGGGTCGCAAAGAGTCAGACAAGACTGAGTGACTAACACTTTCTTTTCTTTTCTTGGGAGGACTTTCCAGAGTGTCCTGGGGGTTAAAACAAACCGCATAACCAGCCTTCTCCCTGCCTTGAGGTAGGACATCTTAGGACCAATTGGAACCTATTCCATTTAAAAATATTTATCAGCAAAAGAAAGACCGCTTCTCCTCCAGTCTGTAACAACACAAACTGTATAGAGTAGAACTCAGGAAAACAGTGGGAACTGGACTCCTTCCTCGAGATTTTGTAATAGAAGAAATATTGAGATATTTTTCCTTCAAAATCCTTTAAATTTATAGAAGATGTCAATTATAATTTGTTTGCTAATAGAAGGTCATTTGTTCAATATTTTAAATTGAAGTGGACTAAGCATTTAGAATGTAGGATTTTCAAAATGATAAATTTAATTAGAAATAGACCCAAGTTGCTAAATCTGGTGTCTTACTTTATTTTCAAGATTGTAAGAGACAGAAAAGGAACATGAGAACAGAAAGGTATCTTTACATTATATAAGAATAAGGGAGCAAAGAAAATAAAACTCACAGACTCTCCAAATTCCCATCTTTTCTCTCCCAACTCATTGAATGAACCTTTTGCTACATGGGGCTTGCTTTAATTAGTCTCCAGTTCCCAAGTTATCACTAACTGTCACTTCAGAGGGTTTCTTTTAACTTCTTCAAAGACTTTTTAAAAACGGGAAAGAGACATTTGTCTCTAATCTTTCACAGATAGTTTATTTCTTGGCATGTTCTCTCTAAAAACACAAACCAGCTATTTTGCATGCTGCAGAAGATGGGTAGAAGTTGTGTGGTGTAAAGGCCTTACCTCTACACAGAGTCACAGATTAAATGCTCAAGATGCTGTTTATTTTGCAACATTTGAAACTAACTTTCCAACCACTGATCATGGCTTGTTAGTAATTTAGTCAAGTGCAGTGGTGGTGTGATTACCCTTTGCAAATATTTCCACCTTTTAAATTTGCATCCAAAATTTGTGGCATCCTGAAATGCTAATGGTAATATGTAGTGTCAGCAAAGAGACATGTAGATGAAATTATGAGTAGTTTATTTTATCCGGCTTCTAGAAAACAAAAGACAGGTGTCATGACTTCTGAAGACTACTTTTTAAGGAAAAAAATCTTTCTCCTGCATAGTTTTTTTTTTAAATCAAAGTATAGTTGATACAGGAGTATAGTTTTTATATAATCATTTTGAGGGAATGAAGGTCAGGGAGGAGTTAATGTACACCTTATTCTATTTTATTTCAGTAATTAACTTATTTTGGCTGTGCTGTGCGGCTTGTGGGATCTTAGTTCCCTGACCAGGGACCAAACCCAAGCTCCAGCAGGAAACACACCAAGTCTTACCCACTGGACCGCCAGGGAATCCCCCACACGTTATTTTATTTAATTTAGTTTTTAATTCCCCTCATCTGATTTTAAACACGTTCATTTTCCTAAATGTTTATAATCCAAATGATTTTATTTTAGAGGAGAAAGTCCTCAGGAAGAATAATAATCATTTGAAAATCTCTGAGTCTGCCCCATCCGCTGCTATCAGGACCTCCCACGTCCTCTGGCCTCTGATTCGCTGGTGCCCCCTCTCTGTTCCCACGCCGTCAGTACCTATACAGCTTACCTGATTTCCGCAGAGACTGAGGGTAAAGTGGTGGAAGTATTTCAGCCCTTTGGAAGTGAAGCTTGGCCCTCCAGCCAGAGAGATGGTGTTTTCCAAAGCCAAGAAGTTGTACTCGAAAGTCCTGGTCGAAGTGCTGACCGAGAAGGTACAGTCACTGTAGCACAGGGAGTGGATCTGAGGGGAGAGGGGCCCATCAGGCTGGCTTCGCAGGCAGGGCCTCGAGGGGCCCGTGGAGAGTGGCACCACTCACCCCAGCCTGGTTCAGCCCAGGCAGGGGGAGAGAAGAGGAAGTGTAGATTAGGGGTGGGCATTAAAAGATCTGAAACAGGAGCTAGGGAGGCTGTGTGCATCTTGCCATTCCAGTATCAGCACATATATGATGTATAAACCTCTCATTTTTTGGTAGGTAGTTGGATCAGATTCTGTACCTTGTTCCTATGCCTAGATTATAAAACTCCCTCAAGATACAAGATAGCCCTTCTTATGTTCAAGCAGAAAACAGCACTAGGCACTCACCTAAAGCCAGACATCCTGGGATGTGAAGTCAAGGGAGCCTTAGGAAGCATCACTACGAACAAAGCTAGTGGAGGTGATGGAATTCCAGTTGAGCTATTTCAAATCCTAAAAGATGATGCTGTGAAAGTGCTGCACTCAATATGCCAGCAAATTTAGAAAACTCAGCAGTGGCCACAGGACTGGAAAAGGTCAGTTTTCATTCCAATCCCAAAGA